CAGTTCATTGCACATTTTGTCTCATGACTTTGACTACAAATTCCCACAGTGTAACAGCTTTCTTCCTACTTCCTCCCCATAGTTACCTCTTCCCTGTGTCCTTCCCTCCCAAGCACTCCTGCCCTTCAAGCTGTCTGTCTCCCTGTGTATACACTGCCTTTCTGTTCTTCCATGTTTGAGCTCTTCAAGGAATGTATCTAGCTAATGTAAATGTTCAGCCCATATGCCTGTCTTTTATTTGGCTGGAAGCCATAGAAGTGAGTTCAGTTGCAGACCTGAAAGGCTGCTAGGGCCCATAGTCTGAGGGGTTTCACCAAGCTCTGTCAGGTTTACCCTTTTTAATTTATTTTATTTTTTATGATTTTGAGATTTTTCCTTGTTACTCTCTCACTCTATCTAGTATCTCCTACACAGATCTTCTTCCAAGTGGTTGACAGTGGTAGCTGGGCACCATCTATTTCTTCTAGTCTAATGGGCATATAGGTTGAAGATTGCATAGTCTACTAGTCCCTTGGACTAATTGTTTCCATGCGCCTTTGGTTTTCTCTATACTTCTTTGCTGTGGACGAGGAGAGACGCATCATTGCATCTAGATGGCCACTTGCAAGCTTTTAAGATCCCAGTTGCTACTCACTAAAGTAGGTTGTGGGAGCTCTGGTAGCATAGTGCCTAAGGCACTTGACTGCTAACCAGAAGGCTGGTGGTTCAAACCCACCAGCCACTCCTCGGAAGGTTGGGCCATCCTACTTCCGTAGAGATACTGCCTTGGAAACCCAAGGAGGGGTCGCTATGAGTCGGGGCCGACTCGAGGGCAAATAACAACAACATCAACAACAAAGTAGGTCGTGGAACAGTGTTTTTGTGTGGTATGCTATGCCAATTGAGCTTGATCCCCCCTGCGACCATGGTCCTGAGCACACAAGTCCAATTACGTGCTCCCTCTGGGTAGCTGGCTGTAGCCAAGCAGTCACCACAACCTTGTCCCTTGTCAATTCTACTATTTACCTGGACTTTCTTACAGATAAGTCAGATGGTAGTTTTATGTTCAACTTTTTTCTCTTCTTTTTTTTTTTTTTTTTTTAATTAGGATTTGGGTGAAGATTTACAGAGTAAATTCACTGTTCATACAGCAGTTCACTATGTTCAACTTTTTGAGGAACTGCTAAGTGTTTCCCACATCGGTGGCACCATTTTACATTCCCACCAGCAGTGGATGAGGTTCCAAAAGATTTTCAGTTTTGCTTTTCACTTTTAAGTCTTTAATCTTTGTAGAATTTATTTTTGTGCATGGTGTGAGATGGGGATTTATTTATTTTGCATTTAAGGTAAAATTGCTCATTATAGCTTTAGAGTTTATTGCAGAAAGTACCACTTTTCAAAGTTACTGAAATCAACTAAATATTTACTGTGTTGATACCTCCATGAACAACGCTTGATTTTTTTGTTTAATTAATACACAAGAAATTTAATTGTTGATTTCTTAAAAGGAATGTATTCATAGAGATTAATTTATAGTCTTGTGGCGATTCATCACTTGTCTCTCTTTTGGTTATTTAATGTAGGAAGATAATAGAGCACAGTGGCTTAAGTTTAAATACTGCTTTTGTTTTGTTTTGTTTTGTGCTAACCGTGTGACCTTACAGATTATTTAAATAATCTCTCAAGCCCTCATGTATAAGGTAGAGCTAAGAGTACATCCCATGGTTGCTTGAGTAGTTGGCTTAATAAATGTTCGCTGTACTGCTCTCATTGTATACTTGTGATCTCATCTTATTTGGAATAGTAATCACACTTTGTCTTTCTAAGGGGATAAAGTTGTAAATGGAATTTTTGAATATATTTTATTTCAGAGTGATTTTAAATAATAGTAACATATTGCTGATAAATCATGAAATAATTATTCTTTTTCTTCTTTCTTGTTTTTAAATCATAGAGCCCCTCGATTTAAAGGTTTCCAACAGCAGGACAGTCAGGAGCTTCTTCATTATCTGCTGGATACAGTAAGGATAGAAGAAACAAAGGTCAAGTTTCCTTATGTTTATCGCATACTTTCTTTAATAAGAGGGTACAGAACGATAGGATTAAATTTCTGTTATAACTTCAAAGTATAGTTGGGAAATGGATTTGATTTTTTAAAAACTCTAATTTATTCTTCCTTTTCTAGCATAAGAAAGAATCACCCTTTCATAATTTTATTATCACTTTTCTTTTTTTAATAAGTCAATACCCTTTGGCTACAAATAACAGAAATAAATTCAAACTGTTTTAAGTAAAGGATAAAGGAATCTAAGAATCCAAGTGTAGTGAGGTATAGGTCAGTCTAAGAAAGAGATAGGGAGGTTGTCAGAAATCCATAAAATGTGCCTTTATTTCCTTTGTTTCTCTGGTTCTATAAATTTTCTTTATTCATTTCTCTGCAGACTGAGTAGTTTTTCTGCTTGTCTGTTTGAATGGTACCACATGACCACTGTTGCTCCTTTGGCTGCAAATAACAGAAATCCATTCAAATTGGCTTAAGTTTGCATGCTGCAGTTACTTCTGTACAAAAACTGAACTGACTGACTGTGAATTCCAATTATATGCTCCCAGGAGAGAGAAACTTTATTATCCCATGTTGTATTAGGGTCCAATCAGGGGTCAGGGAACAATTTTCAGAAATAAACATTTGTGAACTGGATACACAAACAACACAACCACTGCTGTGAAGTCAGATCCAATTCATAGCATCCCCTCCTTGGGTTTCCGAGGCAGTATCACTATGGAAGTAGATTGCCCAACCTTCTTTCTGAGGAGTGGCTAGTGGGCTTGAACTGCCAGCCTTCTGGTTAGCAGGCAAATGCCTTAGGCACTACACCACCAGAGCTCCCTGTGGACTGGATAGATTTCCCAAACAGTTTTTTTTTTTTTTTTAAACAGTCTTAGCCCTTAATTGATTGGCTTTTGTTGACTTTCATATTAAATTAAATTAAACTCTTTTGGGAACTCCTGTGCGAATAAGATAAGATTTTCCAGAGAAAATGCAAGATACTAAAGATGTGAAATACACAGTACAAATCCTCCATTTTTTTCCCTTCACACATTGAGTGCCATGTTCATAATAGTCCTGCTGAGTCTGGATTCAGCCTCAGAATCATTCTTAGTGTAGCACTGTATGCAGCCACTGTCAATCATAATTGACATGATAGGTAAAAATCTGTTTTCCATTCAAAGTGTGAATACTCTTCTTAAATTATAAGTTGCTGTTGTTATGTGCCCTGGAGTCGGACTCAACTCATAGCGACCCCTCCTTGGGTTTCCGCGGCAGTATCACTACGGAAGTAGATTGCCCAACCTTCCTTCTGAGGAGTGGCTGGTAGGTTTGAACTGCCAGCCTTCTGGTTAGCAGTCAAGTGCTTTAGGCACTATGCTACCAAGAGCTCATATGCTTGGGGTAGGTGTTAACTAGGTAGGGTGGACGCTCCTCTTTTTATTTTCTTTAATCATATTTGGTTTGAATTGTAAGATTGCATTGTCTCTTTCCTCTTATTAATGGCCAATTTCCAATGAAGGAAGAGTTAGATTTCTGATACTTTCTTAAATTATTTTAAGTTAATCACTCCCTGCTGCTACCAAATAGTGTATATATTTCAGTCTCATTCCTGAACTGGCTATTTATTGACTTTCAAATTAGAGTCAACTTTTAGAGGAGCCACTCCCTTCCTATGACCTCTCTAATTATATATATTTTGATTATTGACCTTACCACATTCTATTTAGATTTTTATTGTTGCCTGTCACTTCTCATAGTCTGTGATCTCCTTGAGGAATGGTTCTGTGTAATATCTCTGTATCCTATGTGCCTTCACATGGTAGGTACTCTGTGAATGGTTAAAAGAGTTGTCTGTGCTTAACCTGTATGAACAACATCTTTTGAAAATTTGAATTGGGAAGAAAGCAATGTATGCAGTCTTTTAAATAAGTTATATGAGCTAGTTTCTCAGGAATTTGCAATTATTTTTAATATATTGTGTTGCTGTTGTTAGTTGCAAGGATTTTATGCTGTGGTTTGAATAAACTGATAGATTAATGGAGTAATACTGCACTATATTTTATCTATATTTTGTTAAATCAGTTAAGAGATTTATAATTAGCTAGATTTTAGAGACATTAGTATAATTCCCCTGAGTTAATATTTGATGACATTTTCTTAGAGAAATAGAAACTGAGAGTGAAGATTCAAATTCAAGTCTTTCTGCTTCTCAAACTAATGGTCTTTCTAACTTTATATACTGCTGATTAAAGTTTAGTTTTAATGCTTGTCAGCAATTACCAGTATAAATGTTACTTTTTTTTTTAACTTGCTACTTAATATTTAACCGTAATTATTCTACTTTTTGTGAAAGTATTAAATCTGATTCAATAACTATGGTATATATAATTTTTATTTTGTTGTTGTTGAGAATATACACAGAAAAACTTACAGCAATTCAACAGCTTATACATATACCATTTGTTGTTGTTGCTATGTGCCCGTCGAGTTGGACCCGAGTCATAGCGATCCCTCCTTGAGTTTCCGAGGCAGTATCACTATGGAAGTAGATTGCCCCATCTTCCTTCCGAGGAGTGGCTGGTGGGTTTGAACCGTCAGCCTTCTGCTTAGCAGTCAAGTGCCTTAGACACTATGCTACCAGAGCTCCTTAGTGACATGGATTACATTCTTTGAGTTGTGCAACCATTCGTACCCTTCTTTTCTGAGTTTTTCCTCCCTTAAATTTATTGCCCTCTAAGTTTAACTATGGTGGTGGTGTTATTGTTATGTGCCGTTGAGGGGGACCCGACTCATAGCGACCCCTCCTTGGGTTTCCGAGGTGGTATCACTACGGAAGTAGATTGTCCAACCTTCCTTCCGAAGAGAGACTGTTGGGTTTGAACCGCCAGCCGTCTGGTTAGCAGTCAGGTGCCTTAGGCACTACACTACAGAGCTCCCTTAACTATGGTATATTCTTATTACAGAGGATGAACACAAGGTGGTGAAATATTGTATTGTCTTTCTGACAATAAATGAATAGTAAATGCAATATGATGCTCTTGCCGACTCGATGGCATATAACAACAACAACAAGGTCTACAGATAGAGTAAGATTTTTTTGGCTATAAGATCTTCCTCGTGATTTGTAGGAATATGTTTACCAAATAGTGGTCAGGTATTATAAACTGAAGTCAAATATTACCTCTATGTATTGTTTTCCTCTGTAGATATAACAAATAAAACAATACAATCTATCCCTATTATTTTTTCCCCCTACTTATCACTTGATGACAATCTTTGTTGCAATTAAATTACTCTTTTTGTCATAACAGTGCATTAAGATGCCGAGTATCTTAAAAACTCAGGCAGTGCAGCAGGAAATGTTGGTTTTGATAGGGCTTATCTTCCTTCCTCCGTTTTGAAGGGCTTTAGATGGTATGACAAAATTAAAATGTCAAATGGATCTATTCAGTGTTGTAAGCAAGGACAGTCATGGCGGTCAGTTGTAGTGAGTGCCCATTGAACTGCATTGTCTGGCCTGGGAACTCCACAGCTGTTAATCGTGCTGTTGTTGTAGCGTGTCACTGCCATGTGTTTTTGACTGAAGAAAGGCCACAGCATAATGTCTGCCACCAGAATCTTTTAGTAATGATTAAAAATTACTGACCTCCTTTTATTTTGTTTTGTTAAAGTCCTTTTCTTATGAATATAAACCTGAGGAATATACTTCTTGCTGAATGCAGTGCCAAAGGGACCATTTGTATAGTAATTGTTAATTTTTTTATGTGCAAAATTTAAGTAAAATTGAATTTATTATAGGAAGTTAATCGTAAGTAATCTTTTCAACCTACTTAAATATGTGCTTCTGTTTTTTTCCTCCTAATTTCTAACAATCTCAATGAAATAATATCACCTTAATATATTTAATATATTACATAATTTTAAAGACAGAGAATCTATGCTAATTTAAACTACACATTATTTGCACTCTTGTTTTTGAAAGATTAATATGAAAAATTGAAATAATTGAACCTTGATGCTGCTTATTGATTAATGAGTGTGTTGTACTTGTTAGCAAGTCCTGACCAATGTCTTACCTTTTTTTTTGTTTTAACCAAAATGGGTTATAGCACAGCTCTTAACAATGAAGGGTTGCATGTGGAACTAAACTCATTTATGTTATTCAACGTGATAAATTATCTATTGATTAACTTTTTTCACAGTTTAGAGCCAAAGAATATAAATTTGTGGCATAGGATACAATAGAACAGCAAAAGTCTAATAGTTTAAAAGTTAATAATTCAAATAATATCATTTTTCACCCCTTTTTAGAGTGTTTTATCAAAACTTACATTCAGAATACAATAACAGGTCATTAAATCATATTGAAAATCATGTTTGAGTAAAAAATTCAAATTGTAGAATAAAATTAAAACCAAAAATAAAAAGCCAAATCCGCTGCCATCAAGTCGATTCCAACTCAACTGTAAATCTTTATGGAAGCTGTAAATCTTTATGGAAGTAGATTACCTCATCTTCCTCCTGTGGAGCAGCTAGTGAGTTTGAACCACCAGCCTCTGGTTATCATCCAAATGCCTTATCCATTACGCCACCAGAGCTCCTAGAATAAAATTAGAGACTTCTATGCTGAATTACAGGAGCTCTGGTAGCATAGTGGCTAAAGCACTTGACTGCTAACCAGAAGGCTGGTGGTTCAAACCCACCAGCCACTCCTCGGAAGGAAGGTTGGGCAATCCTACTTCCGTAGTGATAACTGCCTCGGAAACCCAAGGAGGGGTCGCTATGAGTCGGGGCCGACTCGATGGCACATAACAACAACAACAACATGCTGAATTACAGGAGCTCTGGTGGCATAGTGCCTAAGGCATTTGACTGCTAACCAGAATGGTGGCAGTTCAAACTCACTAGTCACTCCTTGGAAGGAGGATTGGGCAGTCCACTTCCGTAGAGATACCACCTTGGAAACCCAAGGAGGGGTCACTATGAGTTGAATCGACTTGATGACAGTGAGGTTTTTTTTGTTTTTTTTTTTTAATGTTGAGTTACAGGTCTTTTATCTTTAGTTGCGAGAGAGACCATTTACACTTACATTAAATATTTACAGGTGAACATTTGATAATTGTTGACATTTTCCTTTTAAGTCTATTATATATTTTTCCTATATGGAATTTACACCATTCTAATGTGCTCCTTTTAGTTCAGTCAATTATTTTTTTCCAAAGTATGAAAGTAAACTTTAATTTAGGACATGTCTAAATTACAACATTTCAAATTTATTGAATCTGAATGGGAAATTATTTCAGTATTTAATAGTTTCTGGGAATCATTTTATTGTTTTGAGTTCCTTCACTTATATTTAAGGACAGTTTGGTATGGTATGAATTGTTTTATGTTTATTCTTAAACCCTACTTTGTAAATAAGTAAGTGTTTTGAATCTTGCATTCTCAAAATAACACTTGAACAGTATAGTGAGCAGTTCTAGGAAATATAATGTGCTGGTCATAGGCCAGTTAATAAATGAAACTTGGTTTCACAATTATTGAAGGAGTTAATAACTTATTATCTAACTTAAATACATACAGAAGAATGTATACAAATATACATACAGCTTGAAATATGATGAAAAGAAAAGTCATTTACCATTAACAGTCTTCCCATTTTTAGGTTAACAAATCATATGTTATTAGTACCTGAGAAGCTACCTGTTTCCCCTCTAAACATTTCTTCCTCTTCCTTTATCACTGGTAACCACTATTTTGATTTTTACAGAAATAATTCTATTTTTTAAAAATAGTTTTGAGAGCCATCTATGGATGCTTAAGCCATACATTGTTCAATTTTGCAGAACTGGGTAGCAAACATAGACCTACAGCCATTATTGGATGGATGAACGCTCTCAAAAAAAGATAAGCTAAGATGGTCTTTGGAACGTAGTCTGGCTTTGGCTTACCATGAGTTTACAATTTGGGAAGGCCCCTGGGCAAGATAACCAATGTGCTTTGGGCCAGGCTTGTTAAAGTCAGTGCAGCTGGCAGAGCTGTAAGGGAAACCAGGTACTAGGGGCTAAATTAGAAGTAGTGTGCTTTTTAAAATTTTTCCTTATTTAGATCTTACACATTTCTTAAGTTTATTCCTCGATATTTTAGTTGATATTATAAATGTATTTTCTTTCATTATACTTTCTAACTGATCTTTCTTTGTGTATGTGAAGGTTAGTGACTTCATTATTTGAATATACCCCAGTAATGAATTCTCTTAGTATTTGTAGTAGTTTTCATATTTCAGTTGGTTCCTTTAACTTTTCCAGGTAAACAGTCATATCATCTGCCAGTAATTTTACCTCCTTTATAATTTTGTTTTTACCTCCAATATTTATTTTTTTTTGTCAAAATACTGGAGTTGTAATACAATGGTAAATAATAATAGTGACCTAATAGGTAGTATTAGTAGATCAGATCTTGTAATTTTGTTTCTTTTTAGAACTATTGATATGATGGTTTATATTAATAGATTTCCTAAGCAGTGAAACAAACAAACAAAAAATATTGCACCATTTCTTCATTCTTGGAATAAAAGCCATGATATATTATTCTTTTAACATGTTGCTGTATTCTGTTTGCTCATATTTTATTTAGAATTTTTTCATAAGTGATATTAGTATATGATGTTGCACTTTTTGCCAACTTTGGGTTCCAATATTATGCTTCAGGAAAGTAATTTGAAAATTTCCTTTTTTCTATGCCCTGGAATACAGACTTGGTAGCATTTTTCTAGTAGGGCTTGGAGGTTTTTTTTTTTTTTAACTTTTCATTGTGATTTGGGTGAAAGTTTACAGAGCAAATTGGTTTTTCATTCAACAGTTCATACACATTTTGTTTTGTGACATTGATTGCAATCCCCATGATGTAACAGCACTCTTTCCCACTTCCTCCATTTGCTGCTTCTATTTGATCTCATGTGAGTGATTGTTGTTAAGGAATATGTTTACTGCTCACCTTACAGGTCTGTCTGTTGTTTGGCTGAATGTTGAGCCCTGGGGATGAGTTCAGTCTCTGGGGCTCCCCCAGTCTCTCTAAGGCCTGTAAAAGCCTTGTCTTTTTATTATTATTTTGAGTTTTGTTCTCATTTTTTCCTCACTCTATCCAGGACCTCCTATTATGAATACTTTCAGAGTGGTCAGCGGTGGTGTCTGGGTACCATCTAGTTCTGGTCTCAGGATTGTAGAGGCTGGGGTTCTCGTGGACTCTTAGTCCTTTGCACTGATTGTTTCCTTGCATCCTTGATTTTCTTCACTCTTCTTTGCTCCAGATGGGGAGGGACCAATAGTTGTACCTTAAGGGCTTGGAGCTTTTTTTTTGAGGAGTGATATTTAACTTGGAGCTCTGGTGGCGTAGTGCCTGAGGCATATGACTGCTAACCAGAAGGCTGGCGGTTCAAACCCACCAGCCACTCCTTGAAAGGAAGGTTGGGCAATCTACTTCTGTAGCGATACCATCTGGAAACCCAAGGAGAGGTTGCTAGGAGTCAGATCCGGATCCGACTCAACGGCAGCGAGTTTGGTTTGGTTTGATTTTTTTTTTTTCCCCATAAAAGTTGGCAGGTTTTATATCTCTTCTAGGGTTAGTTTTGAGAATGATATTTTCATAGAAAATGAGCTATTTTTTCAAAGTTTTCAAATTTAATTACATAATTGTTGAGCAAAGTGGTCATTCATGATGATTTAAAATTTCTCTAATTTTGTGGGTCGTTTTTCTTATCTCACAGGTGGATGTTACGCTTTCCTTCTGTATCTTGATTAATGTTAGTTAGTGGATTTATTTACTTGTTTCCCCTGAGAAATTCCATTATACCTGCTTTTGTGTGTGTGTGTGTGTGTGATTTATTTCCTTTAATTCTCAGAAAAAACTTATTCCCATTTCACAAATGGGAAAACTGCAATTTGAGAATGGAATTTATTAACACCCTGTTAGATGAATCTTCAGAATTGCTGTTAAGTCCATTTCCTTTTAAGTTGATTGTAACTCATGGCAACCCGATGTGTATCAGAGTAGAACAGTGCTCCATTGGGTTTATATCTGCTTTCATCTTCATTAATTTTTTTCCTTATTTTGTCTTCAGTTTTGATGTTCTTTTTCCAAATTTTTGAGTTGACATTTTAATCCCTTTTTTTATTCTTTTCAATTGATTTAAATATTTAAGGCTGTGAATTCTCTTCTGAACACTGGAAAATATCTCAGATTGTGATATATAGTGCTTTCATTATCCTCTGAAATGTGTGCAGTTTGGATTAAGAGTTTCTTTTTTTACCTTATAATTTTTTAACACGGAATTATGTTTCATTTTCACATAAGGAAGTCTAGTTCAGAAAGTGGTTTCATGAATTTCAAACCTGTGATTAAGACTTTGCTGAAAATTCTTTCTTTTGAAGGATAATTAACTCTGAATCTCACTGTTACAATGTGAATTAGAAAAGAGTAAATTCATTCAGGGGCCCAATTTGTATAAAAGATGATTATCTTAGATAAATCTTTATTCTTAGAATATATAGTTCTGTTTCAGTGTGAAAGTTTTATGTAAGGAAATGACTTTTTAAAAAATTTTTAATTCAGTCATTTTATTTTAAGACTAGGAACTGAGATCCACATTGTACTTTGCTATGTAAAAGTTTTCTTTTTTTAATTATAAACATGAAATATAAGTTAACAGACTGTTGTTACACCAAATTCTAGCCACATGAACACAGAGTGTTGCAGTGAGGAATACCTTCTAGTATAGAGTATTTTATGAAATTCTTATTAACTGTTTTACAGAGAATACAAGCCAGCATTCTAAAAGCATTTAACAATCCAACTACTAAAACTGCTGATGATGAAACGAGAAAAAAAGTCAAAGGTATGTTAGCTCACTGTTGAAGAAAATATTAAAAGTTCTTTGTTGAGAGAAAAGAAAACTGAGCATTATGAGATCTGATTCTCTAAATTAGTAGCCTTGAAAGGAGGATATACTTAACTCCAGTATCTGCAAGGTACTCTAGTGGGACATAGAAAATATTAGGATGAAACCATATGAATTCTTATTAATAAAACTAATATCAGATACACAAAACAACACTGATACCCTTAAGCAAAACCTCCTAAGGGAGACTTGAAAGGTCCAGAGCCCAAAGAGATTGAAAGTAGCAGCCTCGCTTGGGAATTCACTTTCATCATACTGTGTCATTTTGGGGTTAACATGTGCTTGGTTAAGTGGATTTATGGATATTATCTAGCTTTAACTAGATAAAATACTTACATGCTTCATAGATTCTTGCAAAGAAATTATTTATTGAAGAAAACACTAAGAAGTCAAATATGTGTACAGTTGGCTTACTCTTAGTGTTAGCTCTTCAGCCAAATTATGAGATGAAAACTATTATCTCATCAAAGCTGATTATTTATAGTTATCAAGATTGAAATGTGACTTTATATCCCGTGTGATTTACTAATGATATACTATGCCCTAAGCATATATTCTGCCTTGAGATACGAACTATTAATAGTTGTATGAAGTAATTTTTTTCAGACAGTTTAAAATATTTATTATTGTCTTTTTCGTATTTTTTTTGTAGTTTTGTAGTGTATCTACAGCCTGTGTATAATTTATAAACAAATATACTTGTGATTGTGCATTCCAAAACTTTATTACAGTTAAAAGAGTTGAAGATATTTAAAAACATAAATGTGCGAATAAACTCTTGGGTCTTTTGTGTTGAGAGAGTGCCATCTAGTGTATGTTTAGAACAACAGTCCAGTTCTTCTTTCCTCTCTTTGCAAGTTTATAATCTTTCCGCTTGAAAGCCCTTGCACGGTTTTTCTTAATGAAGCATCTTAATTTACCATACTTTCCAAATAAATATTATATTAATAACTGAATTATTAATTGCCATTTTAATTCCTTAATCCCCCCCTAAAAAAAAAGAAAAAGAAAGAAACTCACTGCCATCGAGTCAGAGCGTACTTATAGTGACACCCCTCCTTGGGTTTCTGAGGCAGTATCACTATGGAAATAGAGTGCCAACCTTCCTTCTGAGGAGTGGCTAGTGGGTTTGAACCACCACCCTTTTGGTTAGCAGTCAAATGCCTTAAGCACTGTGCCACCAGAGCTCCTTACACTGCTGTATTTCCTGGTCTTTTGCTACTGTTGTTTCCATAGCCATGATCTTGCATATGTGGCTCTAAAAGCTTAATCTCCTTTCCCGTTCCTCCATCTCCTCTATGTATGATTCAGAGGCTTAAAAGTTTAATGGGAGCAGTTGAAATTTGGTATGAATAATGGTTATTGCTCTACTTATTTTACCTCTTAATTATAAGAACAGTTTATTATTTCTTGATGCCTACTGTAGTTGATAAGGAGCTCTGGTGGTGCCGTGCTTAAGGTATTTGACTGTTAACCAATAGGTTGGTGGTTCAAACCCACCAGCCACTCCATGGAAGGAATACTGGACAACCTACTTCCATAAAGATTACCGTCTCAGAAACCCAGTGCGGGTTGCTATGAGTCAGAATCAACTTGATGGCAGTGGGTTTGGTTTACTGTAGTTGATAGTCATATTTTCTTTACAAAAGTTGAGAGGAAAAAGAAACATTATATAATAAGATATATTATTAAATGTGATATGAGACATCTATCTTATACATGATACTTTTGAAGAAACAGACAATAACATGTTGTATTGTTAGATTGATGTGATGGCTGGCATGTTTTTTGTATTGAAAAGTATTATTTTTACAGCATATGGAAAAGAAGGTGTGAAAATGAACTTCGTAGATCGGATATTTATTGGTGAATTAACTAGCACAGTCATGTGTGAAGAATGTGCAAATGTAGGTACTATGAAATTCACTTCAACATGGAATAGATTACACACATTGGATTCATTGTTTTCTTTCACATACACTCATCAGTCATTTTTTTTTTTTATTTGTGATAGGTGACTACATGATAGTTTTTGAGAGTCTTTTTAAAATAGACCTTTCAGTCATAGAAAATAAATATGATTTATAATTTTGTTTTTTCAGTAGATGTATTTATATATGTTACTTTACTTTTACTCTCTATAAACTTGAGAGGTGTATTTATCTTAATGTGCTCAAATGTATTAGCTACACATTTGGGTAAAACTGATAGATAAACTTCTATGAAGAGAGGAACTATGTTACATTGCAGTACCTTATGATGTCATTCCAATAGAAATAAATATTAACTTAACTTTGGGTGATTCTATCTCATTTGATTTAAAGTTTACATAAGGCATTTGACTGCTAACCAGAAGGCTGGAGGTTCAAACCCACTGGCCACTCCTTGGAAGGAAGATTGGGCACTCTACTTCCATAGTGATACTGCCTCAGAAACCCAAGGAGGGGTCGCTATGAGTCAGATCCAAATCACGGGCAGTGAGTTTGGTTTTTTGGTATGACTTGTTGAAGTTTTTTGTTGCTGTTGACTTATTTTTGAATTTAGTTTTTATTCTGAATGCCATTTGTGCTTTAACAACAGCGTAAAGCACATTTAAATTTTTACAGGTATCAGTTTCCTTGATATAGAAAGTGTTGCATTTCTGAAAGTATATGGCTTACAATGTGATAGATTTAACTTTTACCAGATCTTGATAAAAGAAAATCTTTATGTTCATTACTCTGTCCCAGATCAAGGAGTACTTTTCTATTTTTGCTAGTTTATAAAAGCAGGATTATGACTGTCTTCTGCTAGCCTGTCCCATTGAAGCACAAAGTGTATCAACATAACATTATTTACATTTGTACAGTATTTTAGATAGAAGTTAATTTCTCCCCCATGAGCTGGAGAGTATCTTTTAAAATGGAATTATTATAAGGAATCTACAAAACAGTCACGCTGTCTGCTTTTTCTCATAGCTTTTTCTTAACATTTCATATTTATGTTACTATACTAATTTTACTAAAAATATGCTTAGTATCTTTAGTCAGTTAGTTTAACTAAATGTAGTTTATTTTGAAGTTAATTCCAATATTACAGATGAAGCATACTGATGACATTGTAAAATTAAACTGGGTTGCATTCATTAAAGTTTGGAAATATCTTGTTTTTATTAACTATTTTTTGCTTTGCTCAAATAAATTATTATTTCAGGAGCATTTTTTAAACTTAAAATTATAAGTTGCCTGGGGAGTTTGATTTCTTTAAGAATTTAGAAAACTATATTGTGTATAGTAGGATTCTAACTGTCATGCTCAATCTACTTTCTTTTAAGATCTCCATGGTGAAAGATCCTTTCATTGATATTTCACTTCCTATTATAGAAGAACGGGTAAGGAGAAAAAAGCTAATAATGAGGCTTTTTGTAAAGAGCATTCATACATTTATTTGTATAGACATTTGTTGAGTATTACCAGATATCTGAGGCTTATTATTATTTTATATATAATAATTAAATTTGTGTGTTTAATAATTGGGGTTTGTCTGTGTATGTGTAAAGTAAAACATATTTCTTATTCTCAAGAAAATTACATCCTACATTTTATATTTTGAGAGTTAATGCTAAGGAAATTAACTTTTTAAAAATTTTAAGTGAATTAGAAACTTTTAAAAGTAGATGATATCCAGAATATATTTGCTAAAGAAGTTTTTGTGTTATGTATGTGACATCTATATAGGTTTCAAAGCCTGTACTCTTGGGAAGAATGAATAAATGCAGAAGCTCACAGGAGATAGATCGTGGTCAGTACAGTGGCACTGTTACTGTAGAAAATACTCATCAATCCAAAACCACCAAGAAGCATTCTTCATCTAAAGATAAAGTAAGATTATGTGCATATGTTACACATCTTTTTTAAAATAACTTTTTTGTTAAGGAAAATTTAAAACATACACAAAAGTAGAGAAAATTGTATATAAACTCTTCAGTACCATTACTTAGCTTTGTAATTACCAATTTATTGCTGTCTATATTCCACACTCCCCCACCCCCCATCCTAGATTATTTTGAAACAAATCCCAAAATATACTTTAATGTGTATCTTTAAAAGACAAATACTCTTAAAAATATATAACCATGGCACCATTATCACACCTAAAAACATTAATAACTTCTTAATAGCACCAAACATCAAATCATTATTTAAATATCTGCAGTTGTCAAAAAACTAAGAAGTTTTTTGGTCTTTGTTTTTGAAGTTTGAATTTAGGATCTAAAAATGATCCATAGATTGCAATCAATTACAGTGTTTTCTTAGTCTTTTTTAATCTACAGATTCCCCATATTCCCACATTCAGTAGTAATTCACATTGTTACTGCATTCCCATAGTGTTGTTAGGTTTCTCTCTAAGGCAGTTAGGGCTAAAGGCCTAATTAGATTCAGGTTTAATTAATTAATAAGTGGTGCTGTATGCTTCTATGAAGGAAGTAATGTTTGATATCTCTCTTTTCTTGATGTTACTAGTTATTGATGATCATTGTCTAGATATGTTATATTTCACTAGGGACATACTTTGCTGTTGAATTATCCCACATAAATCTAAATAAATCCCAGTAAATTTATACTTCATTAAAAAATATGTTTCCATGTTGTTGTTGTTGTGTGCCGTCGAGTCATACCTGACTCATAGCGACCGACCCCTCCTTGGGTTTCCGAGGCAGTATCACTACAGAAGTAGATTGCCCCATCTTCCTTCTGAGGAGTGGCTGGTGGGTTTGAACCGCCAG